GGCCTGCTGGGGGCGTTCGGGTGCCTCTTGGGGGCCTCTTTGGCCGTCTTAGGGCTTTCCTTGCCCGTCTGACGCCGTCTTGGGGGCCTCAGGGGGCGCCTCAGGGACGTCTTGGAGGCCATCTTGAGCGTTTTGGAGGCCTCTTGGGCCGTCTTGGGGCCCTCTTGGGGCCATCTTGGGGGCTTCTTGGGCCGTCATGGGGCCATCTTGGAGGCCTCTTGGGCGCTCTTGGGGCGACCTTGGGGGCCCCTTGGGCCGTCTTCGGCGGTCGGAAAGCCGAAAAGACGCAACTGCAAAAATCATTCAAAAACCAAAGAAAATCAATCATGTTGGCCCTTTCGGGCCTTCCTGGAGGACCTCTTGGAGGCCTCTTGGGCCATCTTGGAGGCCTCGTGGGGGCCTTTTGGACCCATCTAAGGCCGTCTTGGGTGCATCTTGGGCCGTCTTGGAGGCATTTTGGTGCCATGTTGGCCGTCTTGGAGGCCATCTTGGCCGTCTTGGAGGCATCTTGGAGGCCATCTTGCCCATCTTGGAGGCCTCTTGGGCCGTCTTCAGGCCCTCTTGGGACCGTCTCGGGGGCCTCTTGAGCCGTCATAGGGCCATCTTGGAGGGCTCTTGGGCGATCTTGAGGCGACCTTGGGGGTCTCTTGGGCCGTCTTGGGCCGTCGGAAAGCCGACAAGGCGCAAATGCTAAAATCCTTCAAAAACTTAAGGGAAATCTATGATTTTAACCTATTCGGGCCTTCCTGGAAGACCTCTTGGAGGCCTCTTGGGCCGTCTTGGAGGCCTCTTGAGAGCCTCTTGGACCGTTTTGGGCCATCTTGAGGCCATCTTAGGCCGTCTTGGGTGCATCTTGGAGCCATCTTACCCGTCTTGGAGGCCATCTTGGCCGTCTTGGAGGCATCTTGGAGGCCATCTTGGGCCATCTTGGCCGTCTTGGAGGCCATCTTGGGCGTCTTGGAGGCCTCTTGGGCCGTCTTGAGGCCCTCTTGGGGCCTTCTTGGGGGCCTCTTGGGCCGTCATGGGGCCATCTTGGAGGCCTCTTGGGTGCTGTTGGGGCGATGTTGGGGACCTCTTGGGCCGTCTTGGGCCGTCGGAGAGCTGAAAAGAAGAACATGCCAAAATCCTTGAAAAACCTAAGGAAAATCAATGATTTTAACCTATTCGGGCCTTCCTGGAGGGCGTCTTGGAGGGCTCTTGGGCCGTCTTGGAGGCCTTTTGCGGGCCTTTTGGGCCGTCTTAGACCATCTTGAGGCCATCTTGGGCCGTCTTGGGTGCATCTTGGAGCCATCTTACCCGTCTTGGAGGCCATCTTGGCCGTCTTGGAAGCATCTTGGAGGCCATCTTGGGCCATCTTGGCCGTCTTGGAGGCCATCTTGGGCCAAGTTGGGGCAACAAAGGCATTGACAGATGGATTTTCGGAAACTTGCGGGTGGCCGGCGGGACGGGCCGAAGCCCACTGGGGAGTTCTTTTAGAAAAAGAACCAAAACCAAAACCTGAAACATCCAGCACGCCGTGCACCCCTGTGGCAAGACCACAGGGGGCGGCGGATCGAAGACGCCTACGGCGAATCACCGCCGCCCCCTGCCTTTTTGGAAACGCCGATGTGGCCGAAAGTTGGACTAGAGCTTGGCCAAGCTATCGGACCATGAGTTCCCCGAGTCGGTTTGGAAAGCTTTCGGGGAACACATGGGAGAGAATGATTATGAACAGGAAGAGGAAGAGGAAGAAATAGAGTAGGAGGATGAGGGTTGTTAGGAGTCTCTTGGGGCACCCTTGGGGTCTGTTGGGGGCTTCTTGGGGGCCTCTTCGAGGCCTCTTGGAGGCATCTTGGGGGCCTCCTTGGGCCTCTTGGGGGCCTTTGGGGGCTTCCTGGGGGTCTCTTTGGCCGTCTTAGGGCGTTCCTGGTCCGTCTGACGCCGTCTGGAGCCGTCTTGGGGGCCTCTCTGGGCCGTCTTGGGGCCCTCTTGGGGCGCTTCAGGGCCGTCTTGGAGGCCATGTTGGGCGTCTTGGAGGCCTCTTGGGCCGTCTTGGGGCGCTCTTGGGGCCGTCTTGGGGGGCCCTTGGGCCGTCATAGGGCCTTCTTGGAGGCCTCTTGGGCGATCTTGGGGGCCTCTTGGGCCGTCGGAAGGCCGGAAGGCCGAAAAGAAGAAAACGCAAAAAACCTTCAAAAACCTAAGGAAAACCAATGATTTTGGCCTCTTCGGGCTCTCCTGGAGAACGTCTTGGAGGCCTCTTGGGCCATCTTGGAGGCATCTTGGGGCCATCTTGGCCGTCTTGGAGGGCATCTTGGGCCGTCTTGGAGGCATCTTGGAGCCATCTTACCCGTCTTGGAGGCCATCTTGGCCGTCTGGGAGGCATCTTGGAGGCCATCTTGGGCCATCTTGGCCGTCTTGGAGGCCATCTTGGGCCAAGTTGGGGCAACAAAGGCATTGACAGACGGATTTTGGGAAAATTACGGGTGGCCGGCGGGACGGGCCGAAGCCCACTGGGGAGTTCTTTTAGAAAAAGAACCAAAACCAAAACCTGAAACATCCAGCACGCCGTGCACCCCTGTGGCAAGACCACAGGGGGCGGCGGATCGAAGACGCCTACGGCGAATCACCGCCGCCCCCTGCCTTTGTGGAAGCGCCTATGTGGCCGAACGTTGAGGCCAGACCTGCCAAGCCATCGGACCATGTGTTCCCCGAATCGGTTTGGAAAGCCTTCGGGGAACACGTGGGCGTCTTGATGGTCATCGTCGCCGTCTTGGAGGCCTCTTGGGCGATCTTTCGGCGATCTTTGGGGGCTCTTGGGCCGTCTCGGGCCGTCGGAAGGCCGAAAGAAGGGAAATGCCCAAATCCATCAAAAACCTTGGGAAAATCAGTGATTTTGGCATCTTTTGGCCTTCCTGGAGGCCCTCTTGGGGGCCTCTTGGGCCCTTTTGGGCCAGCTTCGAGCCAACTTCGGCCATCTTGGTGGGTTCCTGGCACGTCTGACGCCGTCGGGAGCCGTTTTGGGGGCCTTTCTGGGCCAACGGGGGACCCTCTTGGGGCGCTCCAGGGCCGTCTTGGAGGCCATCTTGGGCGTCTTGGAGGCCATCTTGGGCGTGTTGGAGGCCTCTTGGGCCGTCTTGGGGCCCTCTAGGGGCCATCTTGGAGGCCACTTGGGCCATCAGGGGGCTCTCTTGGGGGCCTCTTGGGCGATCTTGGGGGCTTCTTGGGCCGTCTTGAGCCGTCGGAGAGCCGAAAAGGCGCAAATGCCAAAATCCTTCAAAAACCAAGGGAAAATCAATGATTTTGGCCTCTTCGGACTCTCCTGGAGGACCTCTTGGAGGCCTCTTGGGCCGTCTGGGAGGCCTCTGGGGGGCCTCTTGGGCCGTCTTGGGCCGTCTTGGACTCTCTTGGGCCGTTTTGGAGGCCGTCTTGGACCATCTCGGGCGGACTTGGAGGCCATCTTGGGCCATCTTCGCGATTTTTTGAGGATGTCCCGAGCGAAACGGCCGTTTTTGGGCACGGTGGCGGGACGGGCCGGAGCCCACTGGAGAGTTCTTTTAGAAAAAGAACCAAAACCAAAACCTGAAACGTCCAGCACGCCGTGCACCCCTGCAAGCAGGGGGCGGCGGATCGAAGACGCCTACGGCGAATCACCGCCGCCCCCTGCCTTTTTGGAAGCGCCTATGTGGCCGAACGTTGAGGCCAGACCTGCCAAGCTATCGGACCACGTGTTCCCCGAATCGGTTTGGAAAGCCTTCGGGGAACACGTGGGCATCTTGAAGGTCATCTTGGCCGTCTTGGAGGCCTCTTGGGCAAGCTTTGGGCGATCTTTGGGGCTTTTTGGGCCGTCTCGGGCCAGCTTCGAGCCAACTTCGGCCATCTTGGTGGGTTCCTGGCACGTCTGAAGCCGTCGGAAGCCGTTTGGGGGGCCTCTATGGGCCGACTTGGGGCCCGCTTGGAATGCTCCAGGGCCGTCTTGGAGGCCATCTTGGGCGTCTGGGAGGCCATCTTGGGCGTGTTGGAGGCCTCTTGGGCCCTCTTGGGGCCCTCTAGGGGCCATCTTGGAGGCCACTTGGGCCATCATGGGGCTCTCTTGGGGGCCTCTTGGGCGATCTTGGGGGCTTCTTGGGCCGTCTTGAGCCGTCGGAGAGCCGAAAAGGCGCAAATGCCAAAATCCTTCAAAAACCAAGGGAAAATCAATGATTTTGGCCTCTTCGGACTCTCCTGGAGGACCTCTTGGAGGCCTCTTGGGCCGTCTGGGAGGCCTCTGGGGGGCCTCTTGGGCCGTCTTGGGCCGTCTTGCACTCTCTTGGGCCGTTTTGGAGGCCGTCTTGGACCATCTCGGGCGGACTTGGAGGCCATCTTGGGCCATCGTCGCGATTTTTTGAGGATGTCCCGAGCGAAACAGCCGTTTTTGGGCAGGAAATTGGGGAATTGAGGTCCTGGAAGGGTGGCCAGCGGGACGGGCCGAAGCCCACTGGGGAGTTCTTTTAGAAAAAGAACCAAAACCAAAACCTAACAGCTCGTCCAGCACGCCGTGCACCCCTGCAAGCAGGGGGCGGCGGATCTAGTGGCCTTCGGCCCATCCCGCCACCGTGCCTTGGACCGATCGTTTGGCGACTCGAGGCCCTCCTGGACCGTGTGAGTGGGCGCGCCGGGAGCCTCGGGAGATTTGAGAACTTGGGGTCTGGGCCCCCTAAAACAGTCCCAGGATGGAGGACTCATGTTCAGTGGATTGAGCCAACGACGGGAGAACACTCCAGCTTGTGCCTCGCGTCGCGGTTGCGGATGTTTTTGCGTCCCATAATCGGGTATAGCCAGGACCCCGGTTAAGGGCAGCCGGTTAGTGATTGGGCCCCGAAGCCCAAAAATGGATTGGAATCACTAGACCAGGTCTGCCGTAGCTGGAGTTTTTCGGGTGACGGGAGTTCCGGTTGGTGGAATGGGGCGGGGGGGGGCCTTCCCCAGTACACATTATATAACCAGGGCCCACTAAACCCAGTCCTGCCAACGCCCGACATAAGGTGGTCCACCACCTGGTGGACCGGTTCCACCCCCGCATCGACGCGGTGAAAGCCCGGGTCAAGGCGGCGCACCAGCAGCTGCAGGAGCGCGGGGGCGGCGAAGCAGGGTACTGGAGCGGCGCCGCCGCGCTGCCGGGTTGGCCTCCCTGTCCGCCCAGGCGCGGGGCTCTTTTTTGGTCTCTGCTCGATGCTTTTCGGGACGTGCGCTAGACCAATGTGTGTGTGTGTTGGTTCCTGGATGTCGCTGCCCTCCCCTGCCTCCAGCTGCTGTTGCTGCTCTCGTGGGTCGTCCACTGGCGGCGCGCAGAGGGGGGCAGGGGGAGGGGGGAGAAAGGCTTCTTGGAAGGAGGCGGCTTCTTAGAAGGCGCCGGCCTTACATCAACAGAGAAGGCCCGCGCCTTTAAGAAGCAGGGGTACCTCTAAGAAGCCCTCCCCCCGCCCCGTACGCCCCTCTGCGCGCCGCCAAGTCACTCTTCTGGGTCGTCCACCTGGTTGGCCACGCTTCTGCCCTTTGCCCTTACAGTCGGGCACGCCCTCATCGCAGCAGTCGATCCCTGCACCTGTTCTCGGGGGCGGCAAAAAGGGAGGTGATGACTAGGGGGGGGTGGAGATCATGGCGGGGGCCATGATATCTCCCCAGATTTTATGGTGCCTCTTCTTATTTCAATCTGTCCCTGGCCCGCCCCTTGGGCCGCGCACATGCCGCCAGCCATGATTTGCGCCGCCCCCTCTTGGACGCCCCCTTCTTGGCCGCAGCGTGTCCCGCTTCGCGAAGGTGCCGCCATCTCGCCGCGGAAGGGAACGAGCTGTTAACCCGCTTAGCGCCGCTGATTGCACGCAGCCTGTGTCGGCCGTCACTACATTGCCTACGTTGTCGAAGAGCTTCGGTGGACAAACGCATGCTGGCGCCAACACGCGTCAGGATCGCCGGTTTCTGGGGCGCACGTCGCGGGGGTCAGCGCACCATGCGGACCAGCCAGTCCGACGCTCACGTCCCGAACGGCCCAACAAGAGCACACCGCGTCGTTGTCGACGCAGACGTGCCCAAAGACACGCCAGTCACGCGATCATGACCCACACCACCCAAGACAAAGCATCATGTCGTCCGAGCGCGCCGCCGCACGTGTCTATGGGCCGAAGCTCCCTCTGCCGAGGAGGAGGATGCGGAGGCGGAAGCGGAGGCGGAGGAGGCGGAGGAGGCGGAGGAGGCGGAGGAGGCGGAGGAGGAGGAGGAGGAGGAGGAGGAGGAGGAGGAGGAGGAGATTTCCGAGATTTCCCCCCAGGACGACGTCCCAGGAGGAGGAGGAGGAGGAGGAGGAGGAGGAGGAGGAGGAGGAGGAGGAGGAGGAGGCGGCGGCGAAACGATATCGGGCCGAATGTCTCGAGTGCCAAGAGACCACATGCGTGAAACGCGTGCTGCATTCAACTATGTGCGACCTATCGTGCGACTTGAAAGTCGAATCATGGATGGTCCCCCCTGCGGGGGAGCCCCGAGTTGTCCTCGCTCGACCACAGCTACGAGGCCACGGAGGTGGAACGAATTAAGGTGTCAAACAAACAGGCATGCGAGGAATGTAACGCACGGGATTCAGCGAACGCGCGGGCCAGAAAAGAGGGAGGAACGCAGAGGAAGGGACAACTGAAGACTTCCACACTGGCTCATGGCGGGATCTTCTCCGCGCCTGCGGAGAGGCTGGGCTAACTCACTACAACAGAGATCACTTCCTCTCCAGCGGCCAACGGCAATCGGTAAAGCCCAGGCGACGCGATGACCATCCCGACACCAGCCCACAGCGGCGAAGCATGTCAGTCAGAAAGCGTGAAAACGACGAACGCGAACAGGAGTGGGAAGAGATCGAAGGATGGACGAGCCATGGCTTCAACAGGATCACGGCGTTCTCCTTGGCACTGTCGGCATATGCAGAAGCGGCCATCAGCCTCGAAGGACTGCCCGCAGACACAGAACGCCCTCCGTGCAGAACTCGGCATATCCAGAAGGCGGCCACCAGCCCCCGAGGACTGCCCGCAGACACAGGACGCCCTCCGAGAAGAAGTCGGCATATGCAAGACGAGAGCGGCCACCTGCCTCGAAAGGCTGCCCGCGGAAAGACGACGCCGTCCGTGAAGAAGTCGTCATGTGCAGACACAGAGCGGCCAACAGCCCTGGAAGGCTGCCCGCGGACCCACGACGCCATCCGTGCAGAGGTCGGCACGAGCAAGAGACGGCCAACAGCCCCGAACGGCTGCCCGCCGACACACGACGCCATTCATGAGGAACTCGACATATGCAAGAAGCGGCCAACAGCCTCGAAGGGCTGCCCGCGGACACAAGACGCCAGCAGTGACGAAGTCGGCGTATGCAAGAGGCGGCCAACAGCCCCGACAGGCTGCCCGCGAACACAAGACGCCATCCAGGAAGAACTCGACATATGCGGGAAGCGCCCCCCCTCCTCGATACGCTGCCCGCGGACACAAGACGCCCTCCGTGCAGAGGTCGGCATATGCAAGAAGCGGCCAACAACCTCGAAAGGCTGCCCGCGGACACAAGACGCCATCCGCGAGGACCTCGACATATGCAAGAAGCGACCAACAGCCTCCACAAGCTGCCCGAGAACACAGGACGTCATCCTTGACGAAGTCGGCGTATGCAAGACGCAAGAAGCGGCCAGCAGCCCCGAAGGGCTGCCCGCGAACACAAGATGCCATCCGCGAGGAACTCGACATATGCAAGAAGCGGCCAACAACCTCCAAAGGCTGCCCGAAGACACAAGACGCCCTCCGTACAGAGATCGGCATATGCAAGAAGCGGCCAGCAACCTCGAAGGGCTGCCCTCGGACACAAAACGCCATCCGTGGAGAGGTCGGTATATTCGAGAAGCGGCCAACAGCCTCGAAAGGCTGCCCGCGGACACGAGACGCTGGTTCCGACCACATGTCAGGCGCACGAGAACAGCTGCAAGAAGTGGTGGCCAGGCCGATGAGCACGAGACTGCCCGCGAAGACAAGACGCCATCCTTGGAGAAGTCGGCGCTAGAGGGAAGAAAACCACGTTTGATATTGACACACACTCCACAGTGTAGGTTTCCACTTGCGGCGACATGCATGTAGCCTCGCCGTTGCCTCCAGTCACACGCGTCCAAAGAAACAACAATGCCATCGGAGACATGCGAAATGGCGGCGGGCGACGCGGGGGGGACCATCGCCCGCTGTCGAGGACTGTTCGCGGACGTGCGCTCATGCCTGCCCCTGATGGCAGCTTTCCTAAGCAGGGGGGGCTGGAGGAGGAGGAGGAGGAGGAGGAGGAGGAGGAGGAGGAGGAGGAGGAGGAGGAGGGAGGAGGGAGGGGAGGAGGAGGAGGAGGAGGAGGAGGAGGAGGAGGAGGGAGGAGGAGGAGGAGGAGGAGGAGGAGGAGGAGGAGGAGGAGGAGGAGGAGGAGAGGAGGAGGAGGAGGAGGGAGGAGGAGGAGGAGGGAGGAGGAGGAGAGGAGGAGAGGAGGAGGAGGAGGAGAGGAGGAGGAGGAGGAGGAGGAGGAGGAGGAGGAGGGAGGGAGGAGGAGGAGGAGGAGGAGGAGGAGGAGGAGCGGACGGAGGAGGAAGAGCAGGAGGAGGAGGAGCCGCTCCGCGTCCTCCTCGGCGCGAGACGCGGCCCTGGCCGACCCAGGCCAGCGCTGGCCCCGGGTCGGCGTCCGCAAGGCGTCTGCTGCTGCCGCGGGCCTGTCTCGGGTGGCTGCTTCCGTCGGTTCGCTGAAGCGTTGGGTTTCAGATCCCCCCATCGACGAGGTCAGGGCGGATTTTTGTCGGGGGCGGGGCATTTGGGGGGAGGGCCCCCGTGAGCAGCTGGGGCCTCTCTGGATAGATTTGCAGCCTCCCGAGAGACATGTTGGACGGGCCGATATCGTTTCTGCTCGAGCGCTTCGGAGAGAATAATTATCCATGGTCGCGTGAGCGGATGCGCCCCCAGCGCCGAGAGCGGCAGCCTGCGATAGAGCCGCGGCGGGCCAGGCCCGCGGAGGGCTCCGAGGCGCAGGCCAGGGCACAGGCGCGGGAGGCGACCAGCCTCGTGGATCCAGACGAGGGCGAGAACGATTTCGAGGTGCTGTCGGAGAAGGACACGACCCAGGTGTGGGTCTCGCTGGCGGCGCGGCTGGTGAGGCTGGCCTTCAAGAGGCGCTGTTGGGCGCACCTCGGACAGCATCTGTGTGCGATCAAGAGACAGGGTCAAGATGGCAGCTACGGTCCAGGACGCCCAGGCGCTTCGACAGGCTCCCGAGCAAGTGCAGGGAGAGCTACGGCAAGCACGAACGGACGCGGACGCCGCGAGTAGAGCGGCGCAGGAGGCTGCGCAGCGTGCGCAGCAGGTGCTCGGGCAGCAGGGTGCAGCCGCAGCGGCGGCGCAAGTGCCAGACCATGGGCCTGAGAGGATGGCCGCGGAGATGAAGATGATAGGCAAGCCAGAGATGTTCGATGGGGCCAAGCCGCCATGGAGAGACTGGTCGGTGGTGTTCGAGGCGTTCGCAGGTGCGACGAACCCGAACATGGCGGCGGCGATGGCCAGAGCAAAGCGAGAGGCAGAACCAGTGCTGATGACGAACCTCGAGCCCGGAGACATGCAGTTGTCCAGGACGTTGGGGTACTGGCTCATCCAGACGTGCAGGAGCCAGGCGCTCGACGTAGTGCTGAATGCGGGCAAGCTCGAGGGATTCGAAGCCTGGCGACAACTGCACCTTCGATTCGAGCCACAGGCGGCGAGCAGGTACGCCGGGCAGCTGATGGCGCTGCTGGCCTGGGATTTCAGTGGTGAGATGATGATGCGCCTGGAAGCCTTCGAGAGGGAGATCAGCCTGTACGAGTCGGCGTCGGAGGAGACCCTCTCGGACGCGATCAAGGTTGGCATCGTGCTGAGGCAGTTGCCCGAGTCCCCGCTGAGGCAGCACATGATCATGAATGCGGAGAGACTCAAGGAGTGGCCCAAGTTCAGGGGAGAGATCCTGAATGTTCGACGAGCCCAGGCCGCAGCGGCGGCAGCGCAGAACAGAGTGGCCCTGGTGGATCTCTCAGCGTTCAACAACGAGGGTGGCAGGGGGC